GCCGCCGGGCAGATGAACGGCACCGTGGACCACCTCGCCTCGCCTCCCGCCGAGAAGAAACCCGTGGTCACCTACTGCCGCCTGCCCCTTCGCAAGACCTACCGGGAGAACGTGGAGGCTTTGGTGGCCGAGAAACCCGCCGAGCCCTGCCCCAAGGGGAGCGCCCCCAAAGGCGAGAAGCTCCTCAAGCAGGAGGACGGCTCCAGGAGCGTCATCACCTCCCACAAGAGCCAGGAGAGCCCTTCGGCGGGCGCCGGCGCCGAGAAGAACCGCTCGGAGGAGAGCTCCAAACTCCTCTTCTTCACCAGGAGCGAGTCCCGCTCGCTGGTCCTGCAGGACAGCCCGGCCGCCCCGAAACCCGACGACTCCACCAGTGGCCTTATGAAGGAGCTTGCGGAAGTGGAGGACGAATTTTACCGCGGGATGATCAAACCGGAACCCCCGGACCAAAGTTCGGGTTCGGAACTCACCTGGGAGGTGCCTCTTCCCCCGGCCAAACGTCGGAAATCGGAATCCTTCGAGGTGGACAACGCCAGTTTCTCCAGCGACAGTCCCCAGGACGACTCCCTCAACGAGCACCTCCAGAGCGCCATCGACAGCATCCTCAACCTCCAACAACCTCCGAGCGGCGCTCAGAACGTCCGGACGCCTTCATCCTCCTACAACTCCTCTTCCTCCCCTTTCTCCTCTCCTCTCCACCGCCCGGACGCCTACCTTGCCCCCAGTCACAACGGCGGCCTTGGAGCGAGGACGTTGAACAGATAACAGTAGACCCCAACGGGAGCGACGGCGGGACGCTGAGCGAGGACCGGAGAGGAGGAAGGTGACGGTGGCGATGACGGTCAATGATGGCCGTGACGGTCATGATGGCGGTGACTGTCATGATGGCCGTGACGGTCACGGTGGTGACGATGCTGTTGATGGTGACGATGCTGATGGTGGTGACGATGATGGTGGTGGTCACGATGATGGTGGTGATCACGATGATGGTGGTGGTCACGCTGATGGTGGTCACGATGATGGTGGTCACGATGCTGATGGTGGTCATGATGATGGTGGTCACGCTGATGGTGGTGATGCTGGTGGTGATGATGATGATGATGAAACTCTTGCCGGTTGGAGGCGGTTGAGCGTGTCCCCCCCTCCGCGGTGGTGCCGGTTGGTTTCACTCTCGAGGTCGGGACGGTGTAAAGACGGATTGACCACCCCCTCCCTTTCCCCTCCCCCCCCGGGGGCCCGTAGCTATTGTCG